GCATGGCATTTTGAAGAACTTTCTTAGAGTTTTTGGAAATTTTACTAGTAATTAGTATACATTTTGCTGGTAAAATGTTTGGCAAAATTTTAGAAAAATCTAAATAAAGTTTTTCAAAATGCCACGTTGTCCCAAAATTGCGGGATTTTTCGGGTAAAATTGAAAAGAAAATTCTCTCTGTGTACAACCGTGTGTTGAATACGATATAATTAACACGGTGCTTGTAGAACATACGTGCCGTATTGGCGACAGCTTCAATAAGGTTCACAAAACGACACGTAGTCTTTGTGATAGAGAATTAAGTGAAACTATGGAACCTTTTTACATTGATCATTGTTTGAATACGTTATTTCATTCCCTGAGTGCGGGACAGTCATCTTCTCGCCCCTTTTCCATTTTTCGTATTCAATAAGATTTACAAGCGCGCGCTTCGGTTGTAAATCGACGTGACAATGACAATGTAGTCGATCACCTTCGATATACAGAGGGCAATTCAACTCAATAAATCTCCATCAGCGGACGTATCGCGAGGCTACAATTCCACGTGATAGACGCCGGGACAGCTTGAACGGTGTAAAAAATGGTGGGCATTGGGAACATCGATAACGAGACTCGGTGTCTCGTATCACGTCCCGGGATTTTCTTTTCCTTAATCGCGCCGAAACACATGTGTGAAAGCCGACTTCTGCACCCAGCTGGACACCTTCCTGTGCAATTTAACGGACCTCACGTACAAAATGCTGGGCTTAACCGTGATATATGTACCTCTGGAGAGTAGGGAGTTCACCACGGAGGAGGGTAACGCCGATAAGGAGTTGGTGAAGAGGCTGGAGGGTGTGGTGGCCCACTGGAACACCCAAATCAAAATAGCCCTCTCTGACCAGGAACAAGCGAGCCCGCACGAGTTACTGTGCCTCGACGACGAATATGACTTCTGGACTTATCGATGTAAGTGCCTTTACTCTACTAAGGTGAGACGTAGTAGCTGCGAGAAGAGAGGACAGAATCGTTTCCCGATAATATATGTTCGGAAATTTCTTAGGAGGGGCGAAAGTTTCCTTTAACGCGACATTTTAGCGGAATCCCCTTTCGTACCTCACGGAGTTAGGAAGAAACTTAAAATCAGCTGGAGAGCTTTTCGTTCGCGCGCGATAGCCCTAGCGCGCATAAATAATAAATTTTCGAGCGTTTCGTTCGTTTTACACGCGCTCGTAAATAAGTGAATCGAGAATCTGCATCTCGTGGCTTCGATTTGCACGCAGCCGTCGCGGCAATCAACTTGTTCAAATGCGCGCTTTCTTTTTCCTTCCAGACGACAATCTCTGCGGCTTGAATTACCAGCTACATAAAAATACGGTGGAGCTTATTGTCGACATATTGTTGGCTGCGCAGTCCACTTACATACGTCAGTTCCTCATGTTGAAGGACGAGATCGAGCACGGTACGGTCGAAGCAAAATCGAACATTGAGTTCCTGAGCATTCTGAAGGACACTTGCGCCGAGCTCAAGACTTGTACAACCCCCGCGAGCGTGGCTCAGTATCTGCCAAAAATGATGCATCTCTTCAGGACGATTTGGCTCAACTCCCCTTACTACAATACCCGTGAGAGGATAAGCAATCTCTTCAGCGCGCTCAGCAACCAGATCGTCGTCATGTGCAAAGGCTTTATCAATCTGGCGGATGTATTTGCGGGCAAGATCAGGAAGAGTATGAGGACCTTTGACGAGTGCATCAAATTATGCGAGGATTATAAAGCTCTCTATCATAAGGCGAGTCCCGTCTTGCGTAATAACATATTTTGTATTCTACGTAAAAATACGAGCGGTACGGCAGGTAAAACTTGAGAAATATTCTGCAAGAAAAGTCTCACCGTAATAGCATACAAAATTATAAAGGGGTATTAATTATTCACGTACAGCGAGTCGCATTTCCTCTCGAGATTTAATTATTACATACCCTACCAAAAGTTTGATTTAAGTTAAAATTTCTTTTTCGAGTTTCTTCCTTCATAAAAGAGGGAGATCCCTTTTAATCGAATTCTGCAGCAATTCTGATTGATTTAACAAGTCAATCGTAACGATTGCGACGATAAGACACTCGTGTGACTTTGCACATGCATTAATTTTACTAATTAATAAGTAAAAGTACGTTTGTGTAAAGTGCTTGCGAGTCCGAAAGTCGGTTTCTGACTGTATACGTGAAACGCGTATAAAACATGGTGCTTTATGCTGTCTGCAAATTCACCTCCCAGCCGGTGAGTTAAACTCCCATTAAATTATGTGTGCGCAGCTACTTTAGCTACTTAGACTCCTTGTTGGACAATGCGGGGATGAATTTCTCCGTTAATGCGGAAGTTACAAAGTGATTTTGGCTTTCAGCGGTAATTATGATTAGATATGATAATTCAAAGTGAAGCGAGGCAGCCGGCAATTTTCTGTGAATTTAGAGTTAAACAAATAATCGCTCGCGGTAGCGATGGAATTAAGTTAACCGGAGAGAAACGGAATACCTACTGTATGTATATATATCTATGACGAGCCGCCACGAAGGACGCTCCTTACAAGTACAAAGCGGTAAGGCGAAAAAGAGCTCTCGCTTTAAGTGGAGATCGCAATATAACACCGACTTACGCTTTTCCCGTGGGCAGATAAGCCAGAATAGAGGTGGGAATTGGGAAACGATGTGACGCGACGGCTCTCTCGACTACTTGTTCTCGAGTTGCGCCAGGGGTTAGCGCGCCATGTGCCCGAAGGGATAGGTGACACGACTTCTTAGACTTTTGTGCAGAAATCCGTGCAATCGTGTTACATAGCGGATTTTACGGATCGCTAACGCGCGTCTACGGTCCCTCGCATTTTGTACTATTCGCGCAAAAACGAGTAGTAATAATAAAACGTCTTACCGAACCCTTTCTCGGCTTTCGTCAAAGTGAACGCAATCGGTTCTGCCTCGTTTTCATTTTGTTAGAGCGGGATCTAAAAGCTAAGCGTAATACTGACGCGCGAGAGTGAATTTTTCGTTCGCATTTCCCGCTCGACTGGCTTGTTATACTCATTAATATTTAACAAACTAAATTCTTTTCAATACATTTTGTTCTAGATCGCGAGCGCTCACATCAATCTCACGTATCGCTCATGGGACTTGGACACGAAGAGCATATTTCGTTACATCAACGTTTTCATCGGCAGGTGTCAGGATATGATCGAGATTTGTCAAGCAATGATTGATTTTGCAAGGTTGTGTAGCGTATAAGCAACGATAAAAATGCGCGCACTCCACCGCGATTTTTTTTACCTCTATTTTCGTTTCTTCTTCATAAACAACGCTTTTCTTTTATGCTGGCTGCTGTGCATATAGAAAAGTTGGGCGTTATCCTTCTCTTCGCGGTTGAATAAAAAATGAAGTAATAATTTCACCACTAGCCCTTTTCGCGAAGCTATCGTTCTATATTCTATTATTATACCTATAAATATAAGATACCGTTATTGAAAAAGTTACATTATTATATAGTTGTGATTAGTTCTGAATTTTTTAACATGAAACTTTGTAATTAGATTATCTCGGGATTATAATGTGGAATTTTTATATAAATATTAATAGTAGCTGCATGGTACAATGTAATTTTTCAGATTGGACGAGACCACCCAGATTTTAAGTCCTAAATTCAGCGGTACAAACGGCGAGGAGCATGAAAGAGTATGTCAAAAGATTGAAAGGCTTTTTTACGACGCTGTGAGTAAAATCGAAGCAAATTTGCACAAGATTTTCACTGTACACGAGTCTACATGGCACGATGATATGATCATATTTCGCACCGAAATGAGGGATTTAGAGATAATGATCGAAAACTTGATAGCCATCGTCTTCATGAACGTTAATAACATTCAAGAAGGGATCGAGAATTTGCGGAGCTTCTACAATTACTTGAATCGCAAGAATTTGAAATTGCTATTCGATAGCAAAAATAGCAGTGTAAGGAGAAATCGATAATGTACAAACGCAAGTTGCCTCTGGGAAATAATTAATTGCGCGTTTATGAATTTTCTATTGCAAAAATGACCGACTGAAGATTAGAGTTAAGTAATTTTGTGTCAGAAACAGTGATATAAATAATTTACTGTTATTTGTTAATTTAACTTCTTTTAATCTTGAAAAAGGTTTGCAGGAATCTTTCATGTTCTTTACTTAACCAATAAAATCTGCTATCTATTGATGAGCTTGAGTGTTCTTACAGTCGACCAGACTGGCAAGATTAAATTAATTTATTTCACGACGTTTCGACCTGATTCCAGGTCCTTATCAAGTGACAATAGTTAGATGCATAATAAGTCGTACTTGTATTTTTACAACATATGGACATTGCGTTAATTTTATATCACGACTCTTACTCTGATCGTGACTCATGAATTTGCTGGCACAAACTTATGTGCTCATTTTGTTTTTCTGACCACGACCTTTATTATGTATCTAAACTGTTCTCACTTGATAAGGACCTGGAATTAGGTCGACACGTCGTGAAATAAACCAATTTAATCTTGCCAGTCTGGTCGACTATAAGCACTTTTTCACGACAGATC